ATGTTGTATAGATCCTTTATGTTTATATACAGTACATGTACCTTTCCAATTTCCCAACCAGTAATGAAATGACTTTGTTAGTACTGAAATACATTCAAGTTAAGCAAAACAATTCTTGTGTGCCTACATATAAAGAAACCCATTTTGAACTGCACAAGCACCAAGCCCAGGGCAAAAGTAGACTTTATACCCTTGGAAAGGTAACACATTTGTTGTGTTTGTTGATGGCAGGATAGAGTGTGCCTCATAAAGTATAATTTAGTAGTTGTACTAGACTAAGTCTAAGCCAGTTGGATGCGACAACTGGCTTAGACATAGATGTAGAAGATGTTCAAAAAGATTCTACAGATGTAGAAAGCATATCTGAAGGTGCAGCAAAAGAAAAGGAACTGTCAGGAAGTTCATACAGGCCTTTGTAGCTGGGGTCGAGCTTGAGCATGTGACGTATACTTGTGTGTAGTCCTGTGCATAGAAATGTGCATGACTGTGCATGTATGTGTCCATGCATGCATATCCCAACATATGTACAGACTTGTGTGTGTGTCAGGGTTTCTTACCCTTCCTTCTCCACCATTCCTTGTTTGTACTTGTCTGACACTGTTTGTTTTTCTTCGGCGCCCTATTATAACCAAACCTGTATACTTCATCATTCTGCAACTAATCACAAACTACTGACAAATTCCTGTCTCCGAGTGATCAAACAACACCAGTTCACTATTTAACCATCAGCTGGTCCATTTAGTCTCCGCCCTTGCGTGTGCTCAGATCTACCAAGTGCTTTGCTGTTGTTCCTTTTCTACGTGTATGACCCTGGACCTGGCTGACTAATCTCCTGGTTCCTGACTTCGGCTATTGTTTCCATTTATTCTGCTCTCAGTGTTCCCTGACCTGGTTTGGCTGCCTACCTGCTTTGGCATCTGACCTATGGCTTGGCATCAACTACATCCTGGACTTCCTCCATTATTTTTTGCCATTTATTGTTATTTTCAATAAACTCGTTTTATTTTTAATCTGCACTTTAGTTTCTGTCTGGTTTCTTGGTTCCCTGACAGCGTGCACACTCATTGCTCGCAGTGGAGCCAGGCTGGCTATTGAAACTGAGGCTCTACCAGCCCCCGCTGCTAGAAGATCTTCAGAAGTACTCCTGCTACTTGTGATCCTGCATCCTGACACTGATCCCCTGTGATGGACTGCTCGTTCCTTGACCCGCCTGCATCTCTGCTCATTTGGTTCAGTACTGACCTTGTTGTGTTTTCCCAACTTCATAAAGTATTCTGACCTGTGTCACCAGTGGACCGCATCTTCTCATCATTTCGTACCACTTGGCATCTATGGTCTCAAGTTCCTGATCCACCAAACAGCACTCATGCCACTTTGTTGCCCTTGCTCTCCCTGTCTCCCCATTCACGGGTGCTTGGCCTGGAGCAGTAAGAGAGGCTATCCTCATAATTTCAGATTCCCAGCCCAGGTACCTATCAAGAACTTACAGAAGACAAAAGCATATCTAACCATGAATTTACAGATTCTGCATATGTGGAAAACACATCTTAACATGAAACTACAGACTCTACAGGTGTGGAAGGCATAACACAGCAGGACACTACAGATTTAGAAGAAGAAATGCTGCAAGAGGGCATTTCTACACATACGATACCAGTCTCTATGGTTGTTGGAGGCATATCTGAACATGAAGTATGTTTGTTACATTCAGAATCAGTCACACTCTCATGTCTCCCTTCATTTTCCTCTAAACATGCCTATTTGGTCACCAGGTACTGACAGATGAAGTTGACATTGCAGATTGTGCAGTTAGAAATAGAACATTTCTGCAGGCATAGATATGCTTCACGTTTCCAGTTTCTTGAGGGCATCTCTGTATTACATCTACCGTAGTTGACTTGGGGATGGCTTCAGGACTGGCTCATTGCTTGTGGGCTGGCTCTAGGACATCACCGTGTTGAGGTTATAATACCTAGGGAAAAATAATTGATATAAACATTGCATTTTAGTCAATTGAACATGCAACATTGCAAATGTTAATATTTTAATTATTCTACAGTCAGCAGGTGGAGCTCTGTGCTCCTTGTTACATGATGCACAGCCTGCTTTGTGCCTGTAAATACCATATTCAGCCACTAGGTGGAACACTCAGCTCATTTTTACATGCATCAGAGTAGTGCGGGGCTTTGCTGTGTGGGTGAAAAAAAACCACTTGTTATAAAGCTCTATATCAGGGGTAGCCAAACTCCGGCCCTCCAGCTGTGGTGAAACTACAACTCCCATGATGCAACTCTCTACGGGAGTCATGTCTTTGGCTGTGAGAATCTTGCTATGCCTCATGGGAATTGTAGTTCCACCTCAGCTGGAGGGTCGGAGTTTGGCTACCCCTGCTCTATATAGTGCAATTGAGTGGCCCCCAAATTGATTTCAGCATTCTCACACAATATAGCTTTTCAATGTTTAGTAAATTATAATCATTACTGTAGGCTTTTCTTTTTCACTCACAAAAAAAAGAGGGCTGTCCAAATCCCACAAATCCATGAAGTCTGGCCAAAATACTCCCACACTGTTTCTATTACCACGTCCTGGCTAGTTCCCAGGACATGGCTGAAGTTGGGCACTTTCCCCCAGCATCTTAGAAGTTATCACGCTTCCGTGCTCTTAAGTCATACTTTTGCAATGCTCTCCCTCACCTCCTATTGCAGCAGCAGCTGAACTCACGGTTGTTGGGATAGGGGAAGAGAGAGTGCACTACGTATGCACAGCTTTTGAACATTCACTCCTGTAATGCAGCGGGTGAACGCCCAACTTCTGCCATCTCCTGGAAACTAGTCAGTAAGGGTTGTATTTCAACTAGGCTTAATGGGTGCCTTAAAAAACCTACAAGTATAGAAATTACATTAAACATGAACTCCAGGATTAGCAAATGTCTAAATACAAGAGCCATGTGTATTTTTACATGAATCCTGGTGAGCTTTATGTATTTCTTCCAGATCTGTGCCATAATCCAGTGTGCAACCTTGCCTCTGTGCAGGAGCTTCCTGTAATACAGACCAGTCACGCATGTTCTCTCTCCTTGTGCAGGACCCTGCTCCTGCAGGGCACCTGCCCAAGACCGGCACCCACAGCCTGTTCCCTCCTACACTTCGCTGGTTGGAAGCCCTTCTGACGCCACCATGTACAATGCAGGACCACTTGCCCTGCAATGTGCATGAGGACACAGAGGGACAGTCCACAAACCAGAGCATAGGGGAGACGAGGTGAGCATCGACTGCTAGGGGAGGGAGAATCAGGTAAGTAGAACTGCTTCACCCAGATACCCTTGACCTAAACGAGCAGTTGACCCACTGCAAGGGGAGTTCTATTTCCCCCAGAAATAGGTATTAACCCTTTCGCTGACAACAGCGTATGCCGTACATTGTTGGCAGCTATAGCAGCTGGGACTCTTTTAAACTGTGTAAAGCCAACACTCGGCTTTATACTGAAAGCGATTCTGGCCGCTGAGCTGCCTCCAAATCGCTTCCAGGGGCCAGAGTAGAGTTACCCTCCTCCTTCCCCCACCTGACGCCCCTGCCTTGCTTCCTGGGCTCCACTGCCCCTTCTGAAGGCTTAGATCCGTTATCACGGGTGTTGGCGGGTAGAGGCGAGAGAGACCGGTGAATATCGGTTCACCGATCTCCTTCCCGAGCTGGGAGCCATGCTAATTGCATCACCGCTGGTTCCTCCCTAGCTAGAGAAGCCGGGTAAGAAGCTATTCAGGTGCGATCTGTGCTTGAATAGCTTCTTTGAAGTGGAAAGGTGACACTAGGGGTTAAATAGACTCCTAATTTTACCTTAAGGAGAACCTGTCACCACTAGTTTGCTGTCACACAGGGAGCTTCTGAGCCCCCTTATGTGATAGTAATAAAGTTAATTAAAACATTTTTTTTAAAGTTTCTAAAAAATGTAGTAAAGTAAAATACTTTTAAAAGTACCAGAAAAATTGTAAAGTCCCCGCCCCTGCGAGCACAGGCATAATAACAGAAACACACGTCAGGTGTGCCTGTGTATGAAAACGACGATTGCGCTACACATGTTAGGTATGTGCACATGCACCAGAGTGAGAACAATAATTGTAGGGCCAATATTCATGGTTAAAGTTAAACTGATGACCTGTACAGGCTTTTAAAGCGTCACCTATGGATAATCTGAGAAACCGTATCTTGTCGCCGTTTCACTGGCGCAAGCAATTTTTAATCTCGGCATGTTGGGTATCTATTTACTCGGCACAACCTCATGTTTTATATTTGACAAAAACTTGGGTATTACATTGTATTTTTTGGGCACTAAAATTAACTGAAGTGTCATTTTTACTGCAATTTTGGGTTTGATAAAGAGTTGTGCTAATATCATTGAAAGTAAAAGTTTGCAACTGTCGCTATTTTATTCTACAGGGTCTCCGTTTTCAGGAAATATATATATTCCTTGTGGGTTTTAAGTAGTTTTCAGACCTAAAATGTGGATTATAAATTGTGCAAAAAAAACAAAAACACCTTAGCAGTGAAAGGGTTAAATGAAAGTTTTTTCTGCCTGGAGTTGAGCTTTAAACTGTATTTTGAAATACTGCATTGTGGATTTGAATTTGCTGGAGCCATTTTATGCAAAAGGCGGACTTAGCCTTTAAAAAACAATGATTTGAATGAAGCAGTTGCTGGCAGACCTCAGATCTGAGCCTGTGTGACTGCACACAATAGTGAAGAACTGAGAAGAAAGTGGGTAGGACATGGATGGAGATGAGAGGAGAAGCCTGCACTGGCTTTGTTATTGGATGGGGCAGTGTTCATCACAATGTAGCGCACACAGGGACTGGAGGGAAGTCTCCTGGACACATTGCATTAGATGTGTGATGAAGATAGGAGTTCTCCTGCTGTCAATCACCGCCGGTCCCTCCCTCCCAGGCAGGCAGCACTCAGCTCTCCGCTCTCCTCTATACACTTCAATGAAGGCGATTGTCAGCTACCGGGAGGAGCTCCGGAGCGCTGCAGGTGAGTCGGATCGCTGTGCCCCCGGACTGTACTGGAGGCAAGCTTCTAGTGTACTTCTGTATGTGCCCGCTGCGGGGGATTCCTAGCCACCTACACATATACAAATACTCATGTTAGAGATTGTGTTGTTGAAATCCTGGGTTGTGTGTTTTGTTTGAAGGTTTGTATATACAAAACACATCCTAGTGACTATGAACCGGCCACCAGCAATAGTCATCATATAACCCCAATGATCGGATGCGGATCAGGCGATTGTATTACTTGTGATTTCTGCTGATCGGGCGATTAGTTGTAATTGCTGCTGATCGGACGATTGTATTACTTGTGTGTGTTTATACAGTCATAAGCTGCCGGTGTACACAGATTGACAGCCGGCCGGCCGGTGACAGTATGACTCAGTGCGGGGCCGTCGCCGGCGTCTGCTCTGCCCTCTCCAGATCCCCGGCAGCTGCTCATAGTCCTATCAGCTGATCGTCACTTGTCATTGCTGTGCATGGAAAAAGCGGCGCAGTTCCCTCTCAGTGTCAGGATTCCAGGAGATCCCTCGGATTTTAAGAAGCGATGGAAGATTGAGCCTTTCACTTTAATGCCTATCATGGTGCCTAATTGATGTCAGCGGGGAGTGACCCTCTGGCAGTGGTTTAGTCGGGATATACAGGCAACAGATGCCAGGCTTTAAGGAGCTGGATCCAGCAAAGCAGCCAGCTGTTCACTGCACATCTGCTCCAGAGCTCTGCAAACTGAGTGTGATGGTGAATGTGATGTAAAAGTGAGCCCTGAGCTGTCCAAATGGGATGTAATGACCTATCAATGTGTGATGGAGGTAAATGTGAAGCAAAAGTGAGCCATGAGTTGTCCAGATGGGTATATATGACCAATCAGTGTGTAATGCTGGTGAATATAATGGTGTATGATGTGAAAGTGAGACCGGGGCTGTCCAAATGGGAATATATGACCCAGCAATGTGTGATGGAGGGGAATTTGATGTAAAAGTGAGCCCTAAGCTCCCCAAATGGGAATATATGACCTATTAGTGTGCAGTGCCGGTGAATGTGATGGTGTATGATACGAAAGTGAGCCATGAGCTGCCCAAATGGGAATATAAAACCTATCAATGAGTGATGGAGGTGAATGTGATGTGAAAATGATCCATTAAATATCCAAATGGGATTATGTAACCTATCAGTGTTTCATGGGGGGTGAATGTGAAGGTGTATGATGTGAAAGTGAGCCATAAGGTGTTCAATGGGATTATATGACCCATCAGTGTGTGATGGTGAATGTAATGGTGAATAATGTGAAAGTGAGCCCTGAGCTGTCAAAACGGGAATATATGACCTATCAGTGTGTGATGCCAGTGACAGTGAGGGTGTATGATGTGAAAGTGAGCCATGAGCTGTCCAAATGGGAATATATAACCTATGAGTGATGGCTGTGAATGTGATGTTAAAGTGAGCCCTGTGCTGTCCAAATGGGGATATGTGACCTATTAGAGTTTGATGGTGGTGAATGTGATGTGAAAGTGAACCATGAGCTGTCCAAATGGGAATACATGACCTATCAATGTGTGATTGAGGTGAATGATGAGGAAGTAAGGCATGAGCTGTCCGAATGGGAATATTTGACCTATCAATGTGTGATTGAGGTGAATGATGAGGAAGAAAGGCATGAGCTGTCCAAATAGGAATATATGACATATCAATGTGTGATTGAGGTGAATGATGAGGAAGAAAGGCATGAGCTGTCCAAATGGGAATATATGACCTATCAATGTGTGATTGAGGTGAATGATGAGGAAGTAAGACATGATCTGTCCGAATGGGAATATATGACCTATTAATGTGTGATTGAGGTGAATGATGAGGAAGTAAGGCATGATATGTCCGAATGGGAATATATGACCTATCAAGGTGTGATTGAGGTGAATGATGAGGAAGTAAGGCATGATCTGTCCGAATGGGAATATATGACCTATCAATGTGTGATTGAGGTGAATGATGAGGAAGTAAGGCATGATCTGTCCAAATTGGAATATATGGCCTATCAATGTTTGATGGCCCTGCATGTGATGAGCACATTTACCATGAATATACCTGGAAATGGACATGGCTTTTTTATATTACATTGTTCATGGTGTAACTAATCATTGTTCTTCATGGCACAGTAAGGTTTCTATTGCCTGGAGGACATGGTGAGCTTTAACAATTATACAATTCTATGTGTTTCTGGCATCCATTATGACTTATCTTTAAAGCTGAACTCCGGGCACAACTATTTTTATCTAAATATGTTCCTTAATAGACCACAAGAGGTACAAGTCAACTTTGTGTGCACCACACACCTTTGCAAACCCTAATGTTACCTTGTAATGATAGCAGTGACATCACTGAGCTGCACATAGCCTGTGCAGAAAGCAGAGCTGTGGGAGGAGCCCAGCAGGCCCCACCCACTACATGCTGCCTGCAGAAACCGAAAGGAGGGGGCGGAGATAAGACCAGTCACCCTGCACAAGGTGAGAAAGCAGCAGTGACCGGTCTTTATTGCAGGAAGCTCCCACATGAAACATTTTACACTGGAGTGCACCAAAGGGCACCAAAAATCAACAAATAATACACATGGCTCTTGTATTTAGAAAATATTTGCTTACCCCGGAATTCAGCTTTAACTGTGAAGTGCAAAATGTTTTGCTTTTATTGGCTTTATATCTATACCTGAAGGATTGTACATATATTGGGATCCGATATGCCTGGTGACTCAGCGCCTTGTTGTCTTGCCATTCAGTGTTGGGATTCTGGATTTAGTTCCCATCACTGTCATTATATACCCAGAGTTTCCATGTTCTCCATGTGTTTGTGTGGACTTCCTATAAGCATACATGTAGCTTAATTGGCCTTTGGGGAACAGATGTGACTGGTTAAAAATGCTCCGTAATGCGCTGCGAGAAAAGTGTCAACACTGTAAAAATGATCTAATTGGTGAACATATAAAATATGTGCTTCATATGTGACATCCACAGTGGCTTTCATGTCTAATGATTGTTTTTTTTTCTATCTGTAAAACTCTACTCAAGTAATAATAAATCATCTGCATGATAGGAGTTTGTCAGGTGTCACATGGAACAGGCCTTTAATTAAGAGGCGCTATAAACATTGTTTAATCAATCAATAATCAATATGTTGCCATAAAACTCTGCCGGTCATTTAATGTAAGGCAGGGGAAGGTAACTTTGCCCACCAGCTGTGCTGGAAATAAAATTCCCGTCATGCATCTGGGAGTCAATCTGCATCTGACTCCCATCTGGGAGTCAAACCTGTGGCTGTCATAGTCTTGCAGTGCCTCATGGGACTTGTAGTTCCACAACAGCTGCCAAGGTTGCCTCACCCTGTAGCCAGGGCCAGATTTACTCTCTCTGCTGCCCCAATGCCAGGTTCCTCAATGCTCCCCCCTGGAATTCCACACCCTTGCTGCCCATTTACTCCCTGCTGCCCCGAGGCCAGGCCCTGTGGGAAATCCGGCCCTGCCTACAGCATTACTATTTAGATATAGTTACAGTTGTTATAGTTGTTTAGCCGGATGTAACAGCGGTGCCAGTTCAGTGGCTGCATTTACTAGTTTACAAGCCATTGAAAGCTGATATATTATATTTGTACTTTGACAAGTTGAAGAACCCATTCTATTATTTCACCTGTTTTGGGATTCTAGGGGAGATCTCTATTGTGGGGTTCCCGGCTCCTCCCACTCTCTTGCTGGAGATGGAGGTGAGAGAGCTGAGATCTGCCACTATCAGAGTCCAGCAGATGACTCAACTCCGCCACTAAACAATGAGCTGACACTTTTGATAATGCAGAATATGATTTACAGCATCATGGCTTTTAATGGCCTACAGCTTCTCCGTTTCTTACGTTGTCAGCAGCCTGGAAACATGTTCTAACAGCGCCGATTTCAGCATGACATTGCATTAATAGCGCCTTCCTATTTACGAGGTTCAGAAATGGAGATGAAATACTGGGCACAAACCTACGTGATACCAAGGCCAGCTGTAACCAAAAGTAGGCCCAAAAATATTGTAAACATCAGCAGCAGGGCAACCACATCAGTCAGTAATCACAGAGCATTTAGCTCAAGGGTAGGCAACCCTGGTGCTCCAGCTGTGGTGTAACTACAAATCCCATAATGGCTCTACCTCTGAGAGTCATGTCTGAGCCTCATGGGACTTGTAGCTCCACAACAGCTGGAGTGCAACAGAATGAGTCAGTAGCTGTCCTTTATATATACGTGGACCTGTCACGCCTGTTCCCGTAATGGGACTTGTAGTTCCAGTTGGACTGCTGAGGTTGGATACCTGAGGTTTAGCTGCATAAAGAACCAGATTTAAGGGGCAGCAATAGAATGAATCAGCATGATTATTTGTGTGACATCCACAAACAGGCCTGGGTTCCCCAATTGTACGCAAATTTCCAAACCGCTCGGCAATGTGTTCTCCGAGCTGTCTCAGCAATTCAGAGGACTTTATTATACCAGCTTACTTGCAATGTGAATAGTACATTAAAGAAGATTTAATTTGCCAAATGACCGCCTTGCCTCTTTCATGACCCCAAATCCATTTTTTAGACTTTAACATCCTATATGCATTCAGATTCCCGCACACATATCACTCCCAATTGGATAATATAATATCTGCTTAGCAGTATCTGTAAACCAGCAACAGATCAGACGGCCAATGTCATAATCAGTGTGGGCGTCATCTTTGTTTAAAGCATCCTGATGCCTGCAAAAAGCTTGTGTAACCCCTTGACATCTGCTCCTGCTGGGGATGTTAACTCCGTGAGGCGGATACCAATAGGAACTATTTGAAAAAATTGTTTAGACCAGTGATGTTTACAATGAACAACCAGGCACTTAGTTGTGTGTGTGTGTGTGTGTATCTGTATCTCTCTGTATCTGTTTCTCTCTCTCTCTCTTTCTCTCTCTCTCTCTCTCTCTCTCTCTCTCTCTCTCTC